TTCCTCATAGCAATTCGTCACAACTTTCACTGTTATGGCCTTGGGTGGAATCCTTTAGTCTTTTCTTCCCTATGGGGGGGGTTGAGGTGGTGACTCACCCCCCTGCGGTGGCGATTCCAGGGTCCCCTCTTAAAGGGGTTATATATAATGGGTGTGACTGGCCATACACTGAAAGGTTGTCAGTGAACTACCCTGTGTGTGGGGATATGGGCTGGGCTGCCTGCTACACTTACATCTTGCAGAGCACCCCCATATCCCATTTACGCTGATGGGCCCCAGTTCCCCCAGCTGGGGGGGCTGGGAGGGATACACGTCCAAGGCCTAAGACAAGGTCTTCCTACATTCGGAAGTTTAATAAAGTTGTGGCCTAATTTTAATTCCATATAACGTTGTCAGGGTCTTTATTCCTTCCTTATTATCCCTGGAGGCTGGGGCTGTTGCGCCTGGTCACACAGTGTTATAAATCTTCTCTTCTTGGCTACCTGGAAGTGATTTTTATCAGTAAACACACTGTCCCACTGTTCGGATTCTCATTGTTGGATTACAGATTTCAATCCCTTGGAAATGTTGCTCTGTGAATCTGCATTTTTGCACAGCCAAAAGGAGACCAGGAGCAGCCATGTTGCCTAGACAGCCACACAGCACTCTCACTCAGCACATGCAATTGGAATCTGTAATACAAACTATTACCTCCATTTCCTGTCCACCACTCACACGCTTAATCCATTTGCTAGCTAGCCAGAGTTTTGCCTGGCTGCTTGCCTAAGAAAAACAGGGAGTTCTGCCTGGCCCAGACATGACATCAGATTAGGTTGAACTCTACGGGGTGAGTGGTGTCCATCAAAGCAATTTGGGAAACTGCCACTTTCTGAACAATCTTCAGGGGAACTTGCAGGAATGGCTTTCTAGCAGGTAGAGGTACTGGAACTTTATGATTTTTCCCACTCCTGTATCAATAAGTTGTGGGGAAGGTTATGGGTAGATAAGGTAACAGGTGAGCAGAGCACCCTTAGGCACCTTTGAAGTTCAAAGGAATTTCTAGAGGCCAGCTGCTGTAGGGCTGTGAGGCTTTTGGCCCAGGAATGAGATGTTTTTGAGGCTCACCTGCACAGAACTATGCAGGCCAGGAGCGGCTGGGTAAGGAAGGCCTCCCTCCTAACCATAAGGTGAGGGCCAGGCTTTGAGACTATGCCTTGTCGCGAGCAAGGTTTGGCTTGCTTATTTGAGTGCCTTCACTGGAGAGGAAAGTGGCTAACGAAATCCATTCCATAGCACTAGAAATAAATACAGAGAGCCACCTGGTCAAATGCACGAAATAAATGACACAATACTAAGCTAAAAACACCAATCAAGAAAGCTCATCACTGAGAATTGGTTGAGAGTAGCTAAGGATGCAGATTTTTGGCCCACAATGAAATAAATATTGCGAGCAGGACAAAACTGGAGAACCTCATTAACTTATATATGTTTATCCTCCACCGGCAGTAAAGCAAACCTGATCAATCCATAAGAAAATAGGTATTCATTCCTTACATGGTTGCCTTGTTGACAGCTACACTGAAAGCTACAATGAAAGTAATTAGATCCTGTACTTTGATTACAAGGGAGCAGGATGTCCCCTGTCCTCCATGCCCCTTGTGACAATTTCCTTAGCTACTTATTTCAGAAGTCAGCAGGGAAGCATGACTTAGCTAAAAGTGGAAGGACTCAAGTTTGAGGTATGTACAGTTCACCAAGCCTCCTTTCATTTCATTAAGACTTCCTTCCTGCTTTCTCCCCATAGTTTGAATACTAGTCAAACTCTTAGAGAGCACTAAGTTAACAACTAATACTGCAGGAAGCAGCATTTAGGTTTCGTTCTCAGTGTAGGTGCACAATCTGTATGGCTGAAGGAAGGGGAGATTGTAGTGCCCGAAGCTGTGCCTGACTTAAATGTTCTCATAACCCAACTTTCCAGACAATAACTTCTTAATTTATCCTGGAAAGCAATTTTAATTATTTTTCCTTGATCATTGTGTAATAGGAAGAATGGCAAGAACCCATTTTCTTTGCTATCAAACTAGCCATTTGTTTAGTTGCTTATTTGTTTCCATAATTTAATCACACTTCTTTGTGTAAAACAAAAACAGCCTCAAAAGAGTTAAGCAACAACAACAACAAAAGTATTATGAATCTTGTTTAGGGGGTGCCGGGGGGGGGGACTCTCACTTAAAACTTAAACAGGCTAAAAATATTAAATAGAAGGACAACAGTCAAAACAACTGGACACCCTCCCATCAATATCCTTGGTAGAGTTGATACCTTCTTCACTAGCAGAAAAAAAGGAAAGATCTGCTATTACAAACATAGAAACACACACACACCTCCATCTAACAGAAAGAAAGAAAGAAAGAAAGAAAGAAAGAAAGAAAGAAAGAACTATTACTGGGAGCAGTTACCATTAGCAACGTGCTGTTTTTCAAAATACTCATGTCTAGGAAGGAGAAACAACCTCAGTATGGAAATAACCAACTGCCTTTTTACTTGCTCAAACTTTCGAGCACAGAAACAAAGATAAAATTCCAAGGCTGAGCTAAGGTGCCTTAGCAACTGCCAAAAGTGAGCTCAGCCTTACAAATTGTGGCCTCCCTAAAAGAGGGTATGTATTGCGTTGAGAGCTGGAGACTGACCTCCTGGTTGTGGGTGGGTCTATTGGATAGCCACAACACCCAGTTGGTAGGTCCCTTGATGATGGGTTTAATCTAGCCAATGGGGTGCAGTCTAAACGGATCAAGGGACCTATATAAACCCATGCATGTGACCCAGAGCTTCCTCTTTCGGCTTGTGCATTGGAACACCTGCCCACCTCTCCCTAATTCTAGGGCCTTTTGCAATTGACCTAGCTATGCCATCATGTGTCATCTGTTGTTGGGACAGGGGCATGGCAGGAATCTCCCCACTTGGCGGATTGGCTGTGGCCATTTGGGTTTCGCCTGTCATGTAGCAATTCATCACAACTTGTAAGGTTGCGGATAGGCAGTGGTTCATGTGATAGGGATGGGAGAACGGTCTTGCCACCCCTATGTGAAGGGTATTCCATTAAAGAAATCCAGGGACTCAACTTGGTTTGGTCAACCCCTGAAAGGGAGTTGTGCCCATGCCTGAGTCCAGGGGAGCATCTGGGGAGTGAACAGAGTCTGTTCCTGGGCTTTTCACCTGCCTCAGTTGTTCACCCTTGGCTGACCTATGATAAAGCTTTGGGTCAGTGCTACCTGCAAGGGTGCAGGGAGCTAGTCGAACCAGAGCCTATGCAACCACTCACTTTTCTGTAATCAATAAAGTTGTGGCCTAAATTCTGCCAAAAACCAAAACTAAAATTGGAGTCAAATGTGTCTTTATTTAGGGGGAAGGTCTCTGGGTCTGAAAACGCAATTTTATATTAGCCACTAACTTCCTGGAAAGGGACATAAAATGCTAGAGCTGGGCAAAATTTCTCAAAGAAAGAGATTCTGGGGAGAACATCTGAGATTTTTTATTTTTCTCAGCCCCTCATAAGGAAATATTTCAGAGGGCTTTTTCATTTTTATCAGAATACTATCCACATTTTTGTTGTGGTGGATATCATTTTTTCCTTCCACATTTCCTGGAACCAGGGCATTGACTATGTTGCAAAATGGTGGCCAGACTGACAGTTTAATTGATGATGATGCTAAAATTTGCTGAAACAGCAAAAACAAGCAAACAATAAACCTTCATGAAAATGACGGAGTTGAGCTGCACCCTGAAAAACTGCTGGATAAATAGGCTAAAACTAGTTTTTATAATAATAATTTATGCCCACAAAGGGGGTAGAGAATTTAAAAAAGCCACTGGTGCCTAGCTCTATAAAGCACATCCGATTGTAGCAATGCTATGAAAATACAAATATATTTCTGATACAAATTTATGTAGCTCTAAATATGAACTGACTAAACAAATTAGTGCACTGTACTGCATATCACAATAGCAGCAAACAGATGCTATAAAGTCTCAAAGGGCATTGTAGTCCATGCTTAGAGCTAACATACATAGTTTATGCATATATTAATGCCATGCTCATTCCAATTAGATAAGAATGGTGACATGCCACAGAAAAAGGTTACTAATTACTTTCTTCTTAACATCATGTGTATGTGTGTGTACAAATAATTGCTTTTAAAAGAGGTTATTTTTGGCTTACTAATAAAATTTGTATAAATTTGTTTAATTAAAAAGATACAAAAAAATAAAAGCATCAAATTAATGTAACAGAATGATTTTTTTTTAATGAGATAACATGCACAGTTCATATCGTGCTATTTATCACCCAGACAAAGAGAAGAGTTTTCACACCTTTTTGTGTGCTGGTGTTTCCCTTTGAGGGATGCGGGTGGCGCTGTGGGTTAAACCACAGAGCCTAGGACTTGCCTGGCGGTTCAAATCCCTGCAATGGGGTGAGCTCCCGTTGCTCGGTCCCTGCTCCTGCCAACCTAGCAGTTCGAAAGCACGTCAAAGTGCAAGTAGATAAATAGGTACCACTCCAGCGGGAAGGTAAACGGCATTTCCGTGCGCTACTCTGGTTCACCAGAAGCAGCTTAGTCAGGCTGGCCACATGACCCGGAAGCTGTATGCCGGCTCCCTCGGCCAATAAAGCAAGGTGAGCGCCGCAACCCGAGAGTCGGTCACGAGTGGACCTAATGGTCAGGGGTCCCTTTACCTTTACCTATTTCCCTTTGACATATCAGGTTCCAGGGCCTTGTCTGTGGCTGGATCTACACTGACCTGTAACATTATTAGAACGATATTAGAGAATGTTGTTCTAAAAGTCACAGGACATACTTGTTAATTAAAGCAATTTTTACTTTGGTCCCCTTCCCCCATCAAAATACTGTCTGCCTGCTGCTGGTTGCCTACATCCTTTGGTGTCACGTTTTAATAATGCATTATGAACATAAAAGTAGGACGTCATGTGTCCATATATGTTATCAAAACCCTTCCTTAATAGCTTTGCGCAGTGGCAGTATCGTAGCCAATGAGGTTAATCCGAGGCGCAATTATTGCTAATTGAAAACTTTTCCCAATACCCCGCCATGACAACTTGAAATATAGTCGGCAATGGCAAACAAAACAAAAAACAAAAAAGCCCTTCCTTAATGTTAAAAACCATGAGTGTAGATCTGCCATGAGTCTTCTGAGGAGGCACTGTTAGATTTGTCTCTTAAGTCCAAATTTGCCGCTTTGCATTTAGGTGCACAATAACCCTGAAGCATAGTCTATTAGCAGCTAAAACACTTTTTAGAACCACTCACTGCAATTGTCATCCTGTGAAGATCAGGGACACCAATTTATGCTGCCATTTTGATCTCTGCCCCCACATGCACAGTTCAAAACATTTTGTGTAGAAGTGTTGTAACTGTGGACCACAGATTGTTGCTTCTTAAACATGGTGTTTTGGTTTTTTGAAAACTATTTTTCAAGTCACGTTTCTCTATGTGTCATTAGTGAATATTAATGAATGTGAGTCAGATTGATCCAAATTCAACCTAGATATTATGAAAGAGGCACAGGGTTCTCCACCCTATAACCCCCAACATAGCCAGACTTGGACTGGACAGCACTTCAAGCTGAGAGCTCTGTAAACTAGGATATTTGGCCATCCTAAGCCTTCCAAAATATTTTTCCTGCATGCCAGAACACTGCTGGCCACAGGCAACTTCCCCAGAGTCCCAGAACTTGCCTCAGCAATTCCACCTGCTTCCACAGTGTAAATAATTATTATATATTCTGATGAGGTGCCTTTTCAGCAAAATTTTGGGCAATTTAGGTTTTAGATGCATGCCTGGGGATTCCATGAAATACACTGTTTTACATTTGGAATACATAATTGATGGTTAAATATTCCAAGTGTTAAGGTGGATATGGTAGGAGCTTCTTTAAAAAGGAATTTATCATATAAACTTCATAATTAGCTTCTCAAGTAGATATTTAATTTTCAATGTGCTGTTGTAGCAGATTAAGTGAAGGCCAAAAAACGCCAGACACAGACCTTGGGGGGTTATTTGATCAAAGTAATTGCACCAATCTAAAATGCATAACAGCAAGACAATTCCCCACAAATATTCACATTTCACAAGTCTTGTTGTTGCTCTTTCATTCTAGTAAGGTGATATTGATACAAACACCTATAGCCAGTCAGAGTTGGTTGGGTAAGAGGATACAAAAGGCAGGGAAAATATTGTAGGAGGAAAAAGTGAAGAATATTATAGGAGCATGAACTCTTGCACATTAAATGTCAATGTACAAGTCAATAATGAATGACAATATTAATTATAAGCAAGACAGATTTTAAAAAAGGATCTATATTGTGCTCCTGAATTGATTGTTATTTATTTTGGGGATATTGCTCCATTGAGTTTTACGCCATATAAACTGTCCCAATTACTTAAGAAGTGGCATACAAATCTTAAATTAAATAAACACAAGGAAAGCTTTGTCCCTCCAGTGTACACAAACACAGAAGAAATTTGATAAGATGGTAGGTGGTTCGGGGGGCTATCACATAAAACAACATAGCTGTGGCTTTTCCAATGCATTTCCATGGGGAAACAAATTGATGCATAGCCTGCTTTAAACACAAATTCAAACCATACTGGAATTTATACAGTAATGTGTGAATTTTCCAAAGTGATTTATAGCTTCTGTAATAGCAGGGGGCAATGAATTACCATAATAAAATAAGGAGGGCTGTATCAGGAGCATAACAAGTAGCTAACAAGCTGTATTTTGTCCCAGAAAAGTAAATCTACTATTATAAATAGGAAGGGGTGCTGAGGGAGTTTGCTTAGAGGTTTAATGTATAGCTCAAAGCATATGAAGGGGTGCTTTCTAGTTTAAAACATGCAGTCATGGCTGACCAATTGATGTCCCTAAGTGCAGTAGGCACAATACAACAGATTGTACCCAGTGCTTGAATGAATGGAAGATTGTTTCACACAAACTTTCTCCTCCCTGCAGCCTCATGCGCCCCATAGAAAACCTCTTAGAAGGACTGGAGTCCCTTCTTGAACAGTGTGGCCTATCACAGGCTCCCACCCCCTTGCTGCAATGCAGCCCACACTGTTCATAAACCTTCCAAGTGTCCCTATTTTCCACGGACAGTCCTGGATTTACAGAAGCCATCCCGGTTTCTGATTCAATCCCGGAATGTCCCGTTTTTCCTTAGGATGTCCCTATTTTCATTGGAGGGTATGGAGTTGTGTGACCCCACGAGCCAAGGAGATAAGTACCTAAACAACCTTTAGAAGACCTCTGAAGGCAGCCCTGTATAGGGAATTTTTAAAATGTTTAATGCTTTATTATCTTTTTATGTATGTTGTAAGATGCCCAGAGTGGCTGGGACAACCTTGTCAGATGGGCAGAATATAAATAATAAAATTATTGTTGTTGTTATGGAATAGGGCACAGCTATTTTCATCGGAGAAATGCTGGAGGGTATGTGTGTCAGGAGTTCAGCCTACACTCGAGTAGGACCCTGGCAGAGACACATGCCCAACTGGCATGTTCCCTCCCTCCTGGTCTTTCGTTCAGAAGCTTCAAAAGCTTTCTTCTGCCCGAACATCACAGCGACCGACTGACACCAGCACACTTAGGGATCTGCAGAGTTTGTGCATCATGCGTGACAGACCTCAGCAACTCAGCATTTTGGCTAATCTACTTTATTTACATATAAACACATACAGAGCACTGCAACATGGCTCCCTCTCTCTCTAGCATCAGACAGTAACGAGAGAAAGAAGAAAGGACAATAGTCCCACTTCACGGAAGTAGCACAAACATCCTGTCTCCATCACTTCCCACTCTGTGGAGTCAAAACATATATTGTCATGTGAAAGACAACCATCCCATGACTGCAGTCACGGAGCAGGAATTCTAACATCGTGTTCAGGGAAGTCTTTTAATCCACAGAGAGAGGGAAGCATCAAGGGGAAAGATCAGCTGCATGATTGGATCATATAAGTTTAAGGTAGTCAAGAGAACTTTGGTTTGGCAGGATGGGAAATAAGGCATTACTCCCATCTTTGGGCCATGCGCATGGGTAGCATTTCTAGTGGTCAATCAGGGGGGTTCCAGTATCCTTTGTAGCTCTTTTCTCTTGTCTAGTATTAGCAAAATCAGAATTAAAAAAACAAACTACAGATGGAAGAATAAATTTCACGACCAAAGAAAGTTAGGCAAATTTCGATTCATCAACCAAGTTGCCAGGTCTAGCTTTTCTTCTTAGACTGACTCTCCTATGAAGAAAGGTTGTGGTGTTTGGGACTTTTTAGTTTGCAAAAAAACCAAGAGGTAGCATGACAGAAGTTTATGGAATTATGCATGGAATGGAGGAAGTGGATAGAGAAAGATTCTTCTCCGTCTCCCATAACACTAGAGCTCATGGAGATCCAATGAAGCTAAACATTGGAAGATGCAGGACAGAGAAAAGAATGTTCTTCTTCAGCCAGTGCATGGTTAAACTACAAAACTCTGATGGCCATCAACCTGGATGGCTCTAAAAGAGGACTGGACAAATTAAGAGGAAAGAGGACTGCTGATGGCTGCTAGAGAAGAGGCCATGATGGCTATGCACTGCCTGCTTGGTCCAGTGTTCCTTGATATTATCAGGGAACTCCGAAAGCAGGTGACCTTTAAGAGGAAGCCATGTCTGGCCCTCACCGTAATCAACTCCCACCCGGAAACCTTTGTCCCCACTGTGGAAGGATGTGGGGATCCAGAATTGGGCTCCACAGGCACTTACAGACACACCGTTAAGACCATATTCATGGTGATCACCACAGACAGGCTCTGCCTGCACAGTTGAAGGCAGCAATGCTTTGGAATGCCGGAAACCACAGGAGGGGAGAGCAAGGCATCTGGTTGGCCACAGTGAGAACAAGATACTGGGCAAGATGGGGCATTATTAGCCTCATCTTCTGTAATTATGAATAGAATTTTGATTGCCCTGACACAGTAGTTCAGATGTTTAATTCAGATTATGCACAGCCTCGGGATGGCTTTTCCCACCAGCCCAGTGTTTCCAAAGCCTTTTATTCAGCCAGTGAATAAAATATTTCAGAAAAACTAAGAAAAAGCCTAAAGTTCTTATATTGGAATGAATGGCAAGGCCAGTCCCTCTTGTAAACAACCTCTCACAGCTGTTTTAACACCCTTCTAAATGGGCAGAAGTGATTACAAAAGACATTCCTTGACACAGAGGCTATTGTGCTGCAAGTATGCTTCTACAGACGTTTTTTCTCAATGCAGTACAGCTAAGAAGAGAATTAAAAATACATGTTTGTGCATTATAAATAGGATGTTACAATAAGCAGATCCTAATAACAAGTAATGTGGGACGTGGGTGGCACTGTGGGTTAAACCACAAAGCCTAGGACTCGCCGATCAGAAGGTTGGCGGTTCGAATCCCCATGATGGGGTGAGCTCCCGTTGCTCGGTCCCTGCTCCTGCCAACCTAGCAGTTTGAAAGCACGTCAAAGTGCAAGTAGATAAATAGGTACCGCTCTGGCAGGAAGGTAAAACGGCGTTTGCGTGCGCTGCTCTGGTTTGCCAGAAGCGGCTTAGTCATGCTGGCCACATGAAGCTGTACTCCGTTTCCCTCGGCCAATAAAGCGAGATTAGCGCCGCAACCCCAGAGTCGGTCATGACAGGACCTAATGGTCAGGGGTCCCTTTACCTTTACCTTTAATAACAAGTAATAATGCATAAATTTCACACTTGAGGTAATGAATACCCATATTCCTAAAAAATGTGTTATACACTGTCCATATGTAAGTCACCTCTTCATACATTTTGAGGTATATTTACTTGGGTTTCTGAATTCCATAATTCAAAAGCTTCTAAACTTTTTGTGTTCAAAGAATGGGGTGAAGGGAGAAATTGCATGCCATTTTTGATGATGTGCCTTTGGTGAACCTAAAGGGTACTTGTGCTGAAATACAGTGGTGCCTTGGGTTAAGAACTTAATTCATTCCAGAGGTCCGTTCTTAACCTGAAACAGGTGTGCTTTCGCTAATAGGGCCTCCTGCTCCGGCTGCACTGCTGGCGCATGATTTCCGTTCTTATCCTGGGGCAAAGTTCTTAACCTGGAGCAACCACTTCCTG